GAGTGTGTGTGTGTGAGTGAGTGTGTGTGTGTGAGAGTGTGTGTGTGTGTGAGTGAGTGAGTGGTGTGAGTGTGTGAGTGTGTGTGTGTATGTGTGTGTAATATTTATATATGAAAATGATCCTTTAGGCTTAGTTTAAGTTTTTATGTAGTTAATAAAACCTTACTTGTATCACACTTGACGTGTTCATTGTTTACTCATAACCGGAGTCAATAATCATGCAGATTTACGTTACAAACTTATAGAATTGTACAGTAAGAAGGTTATTTCCTTTAACCAGGAAATTAACGTTCTTAGAATTGACAAGACGGTTGACCCTGAGTGGTCAGCTAAATATCTACAGTGGATCTAAAATATGAATAGTTAATTATAACTAGTTATGGTTAATTATTCATATTTCCTGTCGTTGAGCTAAATTCGCTACACTTGGGTACAGTTACAGTTTGATGTTGATTAATGTACACTGTCCCCTCAGTCTTGGATTTTTTTTATTTTTTACCACAAATACTATTTATAATATTGTATTTTGAATGGAAGCCCGTTTCCGCCACTGAATAAAAAAAAGGTAATTAAACTTTTTTTTCTCGGAATTGCGTGATATAAACTAGACTATTTATTTATAGAAATATTCTACAACTAATGTCCTATTTAAGCGTTGATATGTGTGTGGATTTGACTATTTATTTGTTTATTTATTTAATCCGTTTACTTAAATATTATACAATTAATATCCTGTTTAAGCATTTATATGAGCATCGATGTGACTATTTCCTTTTAATTTCTTTATTTATACTGTTATTCTGTTATTTACGTAAATATTATACAATTAATATTCCGTTTAAGCATTTATATGAGCTTAGATGTGATTATTTATTTATTTATTCAGTTATTTACTTAAGTATTATACAATATCCCATTTAAGCATATTTATGAGCATCGATGTGACTATTTAGGCCTATTTATTTGTTTGTTCATTTATTATGTTATTTACTTAAATATTATACAATTAATGTCCCATTTAAGCATTTAGATGAGCATCAATGTTACTATTTATTCATACTTAAATACTATACAACTCATTTCCTATTTAAGCATTTATATTTGCATGAAATTAAACTTTTTTTTCTCGGAATTGCGTGATTTATTGTATTATTTATAGAAATATTCTACAACTAATGTCCTATTTAAGCGTTGATATGTGTGTGGATTTGACTATTTATTTGTTTATTTATTTAATCCGTTGTTTACTTAAATATTATACAATTAATATCCTGTTTAAGCATTTATATGAGCATCGATGTGACTATTTCCTTTTAATTTCTTTATTTATACTGTTATTCTGTTATTTACTTAAATATTATACAATTAATATTCCGTTTAAGCATTTATATGAGCTTAGATGTGACTTATTTATTTGTTTATTTATTTTTTCTGTTATATATTTAAATATCATACAATTAATGTCCCGTTTAAGCATTTATATGAGCATAGATGTGACTATTTATTTATTTGTTTATTTATTTTTCTGTTATTTATTTAAATATTATACACTAATGTCCCGTTTAAGCATTTATATGCATGAATGTGACTATTTATTTATTCTGTTATTTATTTAAATATTATACAATTAATATCCCATTTATTCTGTTATTTATTTAAATATTATACAATTAATATCCCATTTAAGTATTTATAGGAGCATAGATGTGACTATTTCTTTATTAGTTTATTTATTCTGCTGTTTATTTAACTATTATTATAATTTTTTTTTTATTTAGTCATTTAGCAGACACTTTTATCCAAAGCGACTTACAAATGAGGACAATAAAAGCAGTCAAAACTAACAAAAGAAAAATTCTTAATAAATAACCAGAACATTTACTATATGTGACCCTGGACCACAAAACCAGTCAGCAGGGGTATACAGGTGCATCTCAATAAATTAGAATGTCGTGGAAAAGTTCATTTATTTCAGTAATTCAACTCAAATTGTGAAACTCGTGTATTAAATAAATTAAATGCACACAGACTGAAGTAGTTTAAGTCTTTGGTTCTTTTAATTGTGATGATTTTGGCTCACATTTAACAAAAACCCACCAATTCACTATCTCAACAAATTAGAATACTTCATAAGACCAATAAAAAAACATTTTTAGTGAATTGTTGGCCTTCTGGAAAGTATGTTCATTTACTGTACATGTACTCAATACTTGGTAGGGGCTCCTTTTGCTTTAATTACTGCCTCAATTCGGCGTGACATGGAGGTGATCAGTTTGTGGCACTGCTGAGGTGGTATGGAAGCCCAGGTTTCTTTGACAGTGGCCTTCAGCTCATCTACATTTTTTGGTCTCTTGTTTCTCATTTCCGTCTTGACAATACCCCATAGATTCTCTATGGGGTTCAGGTCTGGTGAGTTTGCTGGCCAGTCAAGCACACCAACACCACGGT